GAAGAAGAAACAAAAAAAAGACCAATTCGGTTTTTCTTATTTGTTATTTAATGATCTATACTGTGTCGCAGTCGGGCTGGCAAACGATAAAAAAATCATCTATCGACACATTCAATATTAATACGCTTCAAATTTTTTTTTTTTTAGAATACACTCCATGGTCAATCGAAGGTCCTATTCCAGTAAAACGAAAAAAATCTATCTTACCTTCAATCCATCTTTGTTAAACTAGCTATCTTCTGATTTGACCTCTTCTTTTGGCGATAGAGTACTCACTTCAAAATGAGATGGCAGCGGTCTGCAGGTAAGCTTGTTTAATTTTGATCTTGGACGCCCCAAAATAATACCGACCCATATTTTATTTTACCAACGATATTTCATTCATATGCTATTGGTTTATCAGCCGCGTAATTCTCCTTCCTTTTTCCTTCCAAGCCATCATAGAGTTTATATTCCACGATCTAATTTCAGAGCTTCTTCTAGCTAGGAAGGAATGCAAGAAATCATTTCAGTAACAAACAAACAAAAACCCGGTAAGAATTAAGGATTTTGGTTGGTAAAAATTGTGGATTTTTGGGTTACTTCTTTATCAAGTTACTATTGCATTTGGTTGGTTGGTGGTTCTATTGGTCTGGCCCACCAATCCGTTCCGACCCTCATAACCAGGGAATCATCATGAATGGAAAAGAAGAAGGTACATATCAACGACTAAACAAAAACATTTGATCTTACCACAAATAAGAAGGTATCCATATGAAAGGAAAGAACATCATCAATGGCAAGTAGTTATAGTCTCATTATCGTGCAAAATTATTTGCCTTTTTTTATAAAACTTGTACATTGAATAATTATATTTAGGCTTTATAGCATTTTGTACCTTCTAGTGCTATTACAAACTAAGTAAACGTATATCTCTATTAATATTTTACACAAATCTACTCTTCTAATATTAAAACGTAACAAATATACTATACAGTCTAACTATATTGTTTAATGGGCTTTGTTACAACGTCGTAGGTAATCATATGCTAATATGCTAATGCCAACACTTTTGATCTCCAAATTCGAGTCGGCACAAGTTAATTTGGGTTGCTTCACAAAATGGGCCTTGTTACTCCGCACTTTGAGCCCATGCCGTCCAATTAATTGGATGGCTCAATCTCCATTCTCCACAGATTGTGATCTCCAAAACATTTTTATCTTAAATACCTATTGATCTAATTTCAAACCATTTTGTTGATTAGCCCAATCAAAATGCCATTGATGATTAACACCAACAAAAAAAGTGAAAGTAACCAGAATAATCTGTCATCAGAAAGCTTTTTGGATCTCTGGCTTATGTACACACTAATCTCAAATGAGTATAAAGGAAGAACTACACAGCCACTCCTTAATGACAGACTAATCCCACTTACAGAACACAGCTAATCCAAAATTAAGCTCAACGGCTTCCTCCGGTCCTCCACCGCCGCCGCCGTGAATGGCGCCCCAAAAATCCTCCTCCCAAAATCCCCCGCAATTCACAAACCCAACCGAACCAAAACCAGATTTAATTCCCTGCCGACCCTAAAGCTCCAAAGCTGAATCGCGTCGTCTTCCACAAACTTCACTTCCTCCACCACGCTGTTCCACTGCGACGTCAGAACGTAGTTCCCCCTGCCCACGACCGTGCCCCATTGTTTCAGATGCACAAACCATTCCTTCTCCTATGGCTCCACAATTAGGCGCGCGTCCACCCCGCCTAGCCGGCTTCCGTGAGTGCCCCACCGCTTCCCAAGCTCCGCCGCCTCCTCCGCCGTCAGGAACTCTTCCTCCACCGCCCCGCGCGGGATCGACAGCCGCGCTTGGCTCTGGTCCAGGTCGCTCCTCGACAGACGCTTCTGGATCACCATCTTCACCTCCCTCCCCCTCACCTCGTCGATGTACCTCGCGAATCGCTCCGGCAGCCGCAGACAAAAATTCATCCCGCCAAAGACCGCTTCTTGGTTCTTTCTTCCCTTTCCCTTCCCGATCTTTTTCTTGCCCGTTTCATCCACTTCGATTTTCTTGCTGGGTTCGACGGAAATCGGACGGAAAGAGCCCAACTTGCGGCGCCCGGTGATGAGCCCACAAGTCATTCAGATCGGCCCATCTCCCGCTCAGCTCGTGCACCACAGCCCAATCCCTGCTACTGAGTTTACGCGTAGGCCGGTCCGATCACAGAACAAGCTCGCCCTTGTAGAGTTTCGGTTTGTTTTAGTATTGTTAGTAAGGTTGAATAGGTCAACATAGTTGTTAGCGTTAGTGGTTAGTGGAATAAGTTTCTCCATATTTTGTGGAAAAAGTTGAGTAGAAATAGCAGCACCTGTAGCGTGGAGTTAGTTCCACTAAGTAGATAGGTCTTTTTCATTGTGTATTTAAGTTGAGATTGGATTCAATAAAAGTAAGCAGAAAATTAGTAGAAGAAATCCTGGTATTTCTCGCCAAGAAAGGAGAAAACTGGTTCAATCCCGCCAAGAAAAGGGATTCATTCACTCATACGATTTCAACACGTATCATTTGGTATCAGAGCCGTCGATCCGTGTTTCGATCATGACGAACTCAGAGAAACCATCAAGAGATGAACTCATCAATCGGATGATGACATCTTTGGATATTGCGATGGCAGCTTGCCGTAGAGCCATCACGGCTTACGATAGAGTCCGAACACCACCGCCGCCGCAAGTCGAGATCCTAGCCGCCATGGAAGAGGCGGAGATCGCCGTCCAACCTGTACCATTCGCACTGCCACTGCCGCAAGCTGCAGCTCTAACAGAGTCGACAAAGTTCGAGGAAGAAGAAGCGGATGCCGCTGACGTCGGACCGCCTGCACCGCTGATGTCGCCCGTCCCTCTTGCAGCGCCGCCAACAAGTGTCTCCAAAATACCACCGCCGTCACAGGAATAATCCTTAGTTGCCATGAAGGTGGATCCATTCCTCATCGCTCCCACCTTAGCACCACCGACGTCCATCGCGTCACCAACCAACCTCCTTGTGTGCACACAAAAACCGCCATCGTTCGACATGGAGCTGGAGCCACCGCTTGCATCAGCAGCCAAGGCCGCCCCTGCTTTGGCACGCCTCGCCGTAAAGTATCAACGAGAAGGGATGCCGCAATCTTTGTGGGTTTGCAGCCGTACTCGACAAAAACAGGGGCATGTCCCCTCATTGGATATCAAAATAATCTCCCAGTGTGTTCTTCCCACTAGAGGTAGAATAATATTGGGCCAAATAAACACTTGCGGATGTCTAAATCAACGTGAAGCAGCTATGGGTATGTTTGATGTTGATGGTGACTTTCTTTATAACTGGAAGAGACAGAAGAAGGGTCAAGACTTAGCTAATGTCCCAAAAATGTGGGACAATAATATACTGTCAAAAGGGAAGCTAGAGCCATCGGTGAGGAAAGAAGACATGGCATTCACTTTTGATTTTTTATACCATGACAAAGACTTCTGCAACAAAACCTACAAGCGGAACTGTCGGTTGGAGACAAATTTTGTGATTAAGCGAATGGCACCATTCAAGAAGCGGAGGAACGAGCTGAAAAGTGTTGAACGAGCCGACGGAGGTTATGGGCGGGCAGGATCAGCCATATGGGTTGATTTATGGGCTAGACCATCTGACTGGTACAGCTCAAGGATGGACACGTATCAAGAACATCCCCTTCTTGAGCTTATTGACTTCCGTCTCTACCTCCAGAACTACAATTCGTTGGTGGGTGGGTTCGTGTTCTTATGGTATACGGAGTTAGCGTCCGATTTCTACATTGCTTCTCCCATCTCGGCCTTGAGGACAAGGCCGATTTTCAGGGGATGGTAATGATGAGCCCACAAGTCATTCAGATCGGCCCATCTCCCGCTCAGCTCGTGCACCACAGCCCAATCCCTGCTACTGAGTTTACGCGTAGGCCGGTCCGATCACAGAACAAGCTCGCCCTTGTAGAGTTTAGGTTTGTTTTAGTATTGTTAGTAAGGTTGAATAGGTCAACATAGTTGTTAGCGTTAGTGGTTAGTGGAATAAGTTTCTCCATATTTTGTGGAGAAAGTTGAGTAAAAATAGCAGCACCTGTAGCATGGAGTTAGTTTCACTAAGTAGATAGGTCTTTTTCATTGTGTATTTAAGTTGAGGTTGGATTCAATAAAAGTAAGAAGAAAATTAGTAGAAGAAATCCTGGTATTTCTCGCCAAGAAAGGAGAAAACTGGTTCAATCCCGCCAAGAAAAGGGATTCATTGACTCATACGATTTCAACACGTATCACCCGGTCGGTGGCAGAGGAGGCAAATGGGAGAGGCGGCGGCGGAGATGGAAGTTATGTTGCTCCTCTTCTTGTTGTAGCTTCTTGAGGGCAAATTTGGTCACGGCGACCAGGTAGTCGAAGCGAGTCCATTTCCACTGCGGGGTCACGCCGGCAAAATCGTCTAATTTCAGCAGCATTGTGCTCTGTTTCCTCATTTCTCTCTGTTCTTGTTTCTTTCTCGGAAAACCCATTTCAAAACCCCAACGAAATGAACAGGGGAAGGGACCGAAGGCAGTTGGGAGGGAACTCGGGAAGAAAAGAAAGAGGAACAAAAATGTGGTAAAGAATTATTAGGAATTTTCGTGGGTAAAAATTGGTGATTTTGGGTTACTTGCCTATCAAGTTACCGTCTGGCTATTGTATGACGACAGGGTACTGCGGGGTAAACAGAGAAAGCTGCAGGAGTTCCCGAAATGACCATTTTGGGTTTCTGTAACAAGAAAATGAAGATTGTCCCTTTGCCCATTTTAGTCCTTTCAGTCATGGGCCATTTCAGGCTTTCTCAGCCAGACTCTAGGCCTGGCCCAACTGTTAATGACGAGCCCACAGCCCAGTTTCGAGGAGCCGAGTGAAGAGAGAGAAGTCATCGTCCCCATTTCAGTGGTTCGAGCATTTTTGGATCAGCAACTGAGGAACAGAGAAACCGAGAGAAGAGAGAAAGGTCAACGGAGGAGAGGAGAAATGAACACCGACATCACAGCGTCGACGAAGCCGGAGTACCCGGTGATAGATCGGAACCAGGCGTTCAGCAAGGTCATCGGCAACTTCAACACTTTGGATTACCTCCGGTTCACCACCATCACGGGCATCTTCGTCACCGTCGGCTACCTATAAGGTTCGCTCTCTCTATCTCTCTCTCTATCCCATTTCTGGAACAGAAATGGATTCCTGGTTTGTGTGTCTATGTTTGGATAATGAATAGTTACTATATGTATTTTGCCTAGATAAAACACGAACTAAAATAGGATAATGAACAGAAATATGGTTATTCGCAATATTCTTCAAAAAGTGGCAATTATCGTCAAAATGTAGATATTTATGGCCAACTATATGTATTTTACCTAGATAAAACACGAACTAAAATAGGATAATGAATAGTTACTATCCGTCTCAATCCAACTCGTTGCGATCCTAACCGAAACCAAACCCGAACCCAAACCCGAACTAACCCATTGGACATAGGGGTGGGCATTGGTGCGACCCGCAACGCACCGCACCGTGTTGATAAAAACCGCATCGCACCGCAAAGTAATTGGACCGCACCGCAAACAAGACCGCAAGTTAATTGGTACGGTCCAACCGATCCGCATTAGTTAGCGACTTGGTGCAGTTTGGACCGCAACCGCAAATAAAACCGCAAAAACACAGCATCTATAAGAACCCCGACAAGGCCATCGCCATCACCAGCTAGTAAGCAACAATTCACGCCATTACCAGGAAAAGAAAAATAAAAATTGGAGGTCAGAATCGTATCCAGAGAGCTAGTCAAGCCATCTTCCCCTGAATCCATAAAAACAAAACCTCACTAAATATTATATGAGACTGTAAGAGAAGTACCAAAATTACTTTCAGTTCTCTCACTTAACTAAGTTCCAAAAAACAAAAAACAAAAAAGCCTGCAGCTTCTTCTTCTCCTCCTTGAACATACCACCTGCAACTCAAAAAAATAGTGTCATCCATGCTACCGATGAATAAAGTGGGGAGGCTAGAAAAGAGACCATTGAACTAATATGCAGTTTCAACAACAGATCAACAGACCAAGAATTGAGGCAATGAAACTAGCTAAAGAGCAAAACTTTAACCTCAATGACAGACAACAACCCAGTTGGGAATTGAAGGGAAAAAACAATAGGAAGGTGAACTCTTACTCTGGCATTCACAGCAGGTTCTGCAGAGAGTGGGGAAATGTTGGGAAAAGTTGAGAAGTTGGTTCGCGTATATAAAACCAAGAAGATGGCTAGAGACAGGACTATAGACCCACAATGGGAATATGGGATACCTATGGAGTTTTGAGCTTGATCATCATGATCACCTTTTTCTCTTCTGTTACCACTCACCCATACTACCAACCAACACAGATTTTAGCTTAGGTAACCAATCTAATATACTAATAATACCAATGCCACAACCGGGGCCAACAAATCAAAACCGCAGCAGCAGTGAAACGAGACACACAAAAACAAACAATGAAGAAGATGAGACATGGCCCGTCGAATGGGGATCATCATCAGATCACGATCAATTACCTCACGTGTTTGCGTTTGCTCACAATATGTCATGTATATATCTGGTGGTTGAGAATGAGTCTCATAAGTGAGGTTGCTAAACTACTAATTACTGGTTTAGCGTGCCGCCAAATCTGATGCTTAATTATGCAGCCAATTGCAATTAAGGAACAGATTTGCTTAATTAAGTAACCAAAATCCTCCAAGTTGGAGATTATGTATTGTGTCTATATTGTTTCCTTGATGACTTCCAGCAGTTTCTTGCGTTGTAAACAGCCCAAATGCTACAGAGTCAAAACTCCACCTTCAACAACCCCAACCATCCACCACATAAGTAAACACACACACACACACACACATCAAATCCCGCTTAAGAATGTAACCATAGTCAAGAAACTCACCTCACTAGATACCGATGCTTGAGCTCGTTTTCCCTGCGAGCTTTTTGATTTCATTTTGCAGATAATATCTTCTTTTTCCCAACTGCTTGATATCGAATTTGAAAAAAAACAGTTAGAAATATGGATCTTTTAATTACCCTCGTTGTGACAGTGCACTTAAACCAAAATTTGAAACATTCAGGTTCCCAAATGCATCTAATAACATATTTTTTGCATTAACAAGTTGCTGGAAGTACCAATACTGCATCAGTACTAATGAAGGAAATAGCTCTGCAGATTATCATCTGGGTTTAATTGGTTTTTGATGTTTTACGACTCTAATCAGAACTAAGTACCCTGGAGATAATATACGACTCTAATCAATCTACCATAGTATACCTAATATCTAGACTCTAATCAATCCACCAAGCCTAGTAGGAAACCCAGGAAGGGGCAAAGAGTTCGGCGGGTCGGTCAGTGAGAGTGTGAGACCGATTAAGGAAATGAGGAGGGAGAAAGAGAGTACCAGAACGGGCTCGAGACTCTAGAGGAATCTTCGGCGCTGGCCCTCTCGCATCTTGGTGGTGGGCGACATCAAGAGGGACGAATATATCAGAAGTCGGGACGAAGGCAAGAACAGGTAGTCAAGACTTGAGAGGAATCGTCGGCGTCGGCGCTGGAGCTATTGCCTCTTAGTGGTGCGCGATGATAGACCGATAATTACACATGTTTTCACCCCTTTTCTGGAGCCGTTTGAGATGTGGATTCTTATGTTTTAAACCGATTTCACGCGAGGTTGTACGTTTGTATCATATTTCAGGACTTGGCGGTGGAATTGAGGCAAAGGAACGAGATTTGGGTCGAAAGGAGCAAGTAAGGCTTGGAGTGTGCTGGAGAGCCAAAATACCCGGCCAAAAGCAGGAATACCCGACCGGGTATTTTCTGGCCATGGTCGGGTATTTCCCGCTTTGGGCGTCCGTGAGGAACAGAAGGGAGCCCGGGCAGTGGGCTTAAATCCCCGGTCGGGGATTATTGAAAGAGACCGGGGATTTTCCCTGAGGCCGAAACGGTGCGCTTCAATTATACCCGGTCGAGACCCAAAATACCCGACCGGGTATTTTGACCGGGTATCGCGATCTGGCAGCTGATTTAAGGGAAAGGAAGGCCATCTTTCAAGGGTTCCGAGTTTTTGAGAGAAAAAGCGATTCCTAGAGAGAGAAAGCGACGAACCAGAGTTCCCAAGTGCCATAGCTTGATCTTCATCACCATTGGAGCCTGGCTTGAGCTTGGAGAAGTGCCGATTAAACGTCCAGGAACAGAAATCCGTCTTCACAGTATGATTTCCGCGTCTGAATCTGCTTTTGCTTCTTTCTCTATGGAGTAGTTCCCCCATTCATCTGGGTATGGGGAACCCGAGATTTGTATGCTAGGTCTGATTGTATGAACCCAAGTACAGAGTTTGTGAATTGATTATATTCGATTGAGGTTTGAATGATTGAATGACTTGAATCCTGATCAAATTCCTGTTGTTTCTGCTTTGACCTAGAATGAGAATATCTGCCTAGGTTGATAGAGTAACCTTAATCGAAGGTGGCGAATTGGTGACTTTAGTCGAGGAGCCAATTCGCTATTATGTACCGAATTCATTCGGTAGTGGAGGTTTGGTTCGCTAGGGCCTCAATCTGTTTACTCCAGTGGAGGTTAGTCGCCCGCTAGAGACTCAGATTGAGAGGGTCTGGAGACCTTCAGTCGAGACTTCAGGCTATTTAAGAACCTTCCGCAGTATAACTTTCATGAAAACTGAACTTGGTAAATTGCAATCCGACTTAACTGCAGTCTAGGGGGAACCATATCCGGGTGACCTCTCTTGACTTGACAACAACCGTTTAACTTGCTTAGTGTTTTTGTTTGCTTGAATCTGCACTAAAATGTCACTGCTAGATAACGAGAATTCACCGAGTAGTCATCACATCTAGGACCCGGGTTGACAATAAAACCCAAACCCGCTATACTACGCTTTAGGAAGTGGTTACACTTGGCCATTTTCTAGAGTGACAGTAGGAGTGAGTCAAGTTTTTGGCGCAGTTGCCGGGGACGGCTAGGTTGTTGAAGAAAAGTGATTTCTGTTACTTTAGCATTTTCATTTTCGCATTGAGTGTTTGTTCTTTCCCACTTGTGCCTTCACGGGTTTGCATTGCTTGATTGTGTGCAGATAGTGCATGACCCGTAGCCAGTCGGGAGGTTTACTGCCGTTGGATCCTGAGATTGAACGCACCTGCAACCAACTTCGGAGACAACAGCGAGCTAGACTGGCTACGGTGGAGCGCAGAGACGGCCAATTGAGCAGCGAGTCCGAGGACGAGTACGAGATGGAAGGCGATCACAACCCAACTCCGGCGAACCAGATCCTGGGGAACGACCCCAATCCCCAGGGAGCTAGGTTCCATCATCATCCACCACCACCGGGTCCCACCTTGGAGTACTACTATACTCCGCGGATTGCTGACATCCGCTCGGTCATCCTCTATCCGCCCATTCCTGCAAATAACTTCGAGATCAAGCCATGCTGGATTCAACTCATTACATCCTCTATCCAGTTCCATGGCTTGAAGGATGAGGAAGCCCGGGTACATCTTTCCCGTTTTCTGCAGCTGACGAACGGGTCCAAGCTGAACGGTGTCCCGGATGACGCAATCCGCCTTCACCTCTTCCCCCATTCTCTGGCGGGGAATGGTAAGAGGTGGTTGGAGACCCAGCCCCCATTATCCATCACTTCTTGGGATGATCTGGCAGACAAGTTCGTGCACAGGTACTATCCGGCATCGAAGACCACAGAGATTCAGCGGGAGATCACTCACTTCCGCCAAGAGCCAGATGAGTCACTTCGTGATGCATGGGAGCGGTACATGGGATACTTCTGGCAGTGTCCCATCATGGCTTCAGCGATGCATTCACAGTGGGGAACTTCTACAGCGCCCTCACTCCAGACAGCCAGAGGGTGATTGAGTCTCTATGCCCAGGAGGGGATATTCTTACTAAGACTCCGCCCGAGCTGAACCAGATGATTAGTACCTTGGCTGCCCGAGATCATTCCTGGGGGCAGAACAGCAGAGGCAGAAATTCCCGGGACCGGGGTGTGCACGCTATGGAGGCCAGGTCCGGGTTAGAGCAGCAGGTGGCTGAGTTGGTGCAGACGTTGAAGCAGCCCAACAGTCTCCTTCCGGGCCGA